TCCTTCCCTGGTATCGAGTTTCAAATCAAATCGATTGGTGCCTTGGTGGGTCGGTGGAATTTGGATAAGTTTTGTCATGATGTTTGTTTTTGTAAGCTTGAGTCAACCGCATACCACATTGAAGTACACTTTCAGAAAGGTGAACGATATTATGGACCAGAGACAAGTTGAGCAAGAGGCACACGAAGGCGCTACTTGGATGTGTTTTTCTGCAAACTGGGATCAGTGCGCCGCCTGTTATTTCAGTGTGTAGCTGCCAAAGGAATCTGGAACGAGGGAACTGCTTGCTTTCTCCGGTATAACTGTTTCCCAGTACACATCTGCAGTGTGGCTATTTTGTGGCTTATATCATGCGAGCTTCAGTTATTAACACGGTTTCTTCCACTGCTATCCTATACGGGGGCTTGGAATCACGACATGATGATCAGGTGTTTCACAAAGATCGCTGGATCAGCGTCAATCGGGTGTTTCACAAAGATCACAAAGGATGCATCAGTCGCTCTACGTTGGGATTAAGAGCCCGGTGCTGTGTGTATAGAGAGAACTTTGCGTTTGTTTCAGTAGTGAATAAGCCAGCAGCAGAGCAGACCAAACAGCATTTCAGCTCTGAATTAGGGGCTAGAGAAAAACAGTTCATATTAACAAAGTTTTTCTTTTGATTTGGTTGGGGTGCGCCGGGCCCAGGCAGCAGTGCAACGCCTAGGCGACACATGAGGGCCCCAGTGGCAAGCCACTGTGGTGGACCCTCCCCCATAAAAAATAAATTTAATACCATTATGAGCACATGGCCCACATATCAGATATTAAACTGATAAGAACAAATACTACACTTGATCTTAGCCAAAAGGCCGAGAAAGGTATGAGTTGCAACCCACGCCACCCCTCCTTCTTATAGCCTTGCCGACCCCCTCAATCTCTCCCGCTGCGCGATGTGGGACTAAATGAAACGACCAGCCTCTGCTCCTCGCACGCACCGGCACCGAGTTCGCTGATATCCTGAAGCTAACAGTGGGTGGGCTTTTGTTTCTGCAGCCCGATGGGCTTCGACATGAACTGCAAAATGGACGGGTAGCCCAGGCCCAGATCTGGAGGGGGAGACGAGAAGAAAAGGGATCGCGTGCTACTCACCTCACCCGCAGCTCGTGCTGTCCAAAAAAAAGAGAAGAAAAAACGCAGCTCGCACGCAAGTCGACATCACACGAGGCGATTTTTTTTTTTCGACATCATCACACGAGGCGAGTTGAATTCCAAGTCGCTAGCGCACAAACCTGCCGTCTCTCGTTCTACTCCAAGCTTCCACGAGCCATCCATGGTCATTGCTCGCTCCTTCGGCCGCGGCCATCTCCGCCCTTTGCGTTGCTGCCCCGCGGGCGGGTGGATATGGTCGACTTCATCACTGAACCGACCTTGAGTGCTCACGGCCATTTGAACAGTTAAATTTGTACTCGGACCAATGAATCTTGTTGTCGGTTAAAACAGCACGATGACTTGTGTTGCATGCATCCATTCCACCGTTATACTCTTGAGCGGCTGAACGTCATATACACTATTGAGTGTGCGGTATCTTCTCACAAAAATAAAATAAAATTTGATACATACGTTATAACTAATGAAAAGCATTTGGTTTGTATTGTATGTGGTAGTGATTAATCTCTTTCTTTTGTGGAAGGTTGAGAGATTTCATTACTTAAGGCGGCTTTTCAGCCGTACAAAAATTTACAATATTGCTTTTGTCGGTACCAAGCCATATGGCAGTGATTTGCACATAATTCTGGAGTATAGAAAAGCGCAATTTCTTGCATATATATTGTAAAAAAGCACAATTTCTTGTTTCATTTTTAATTTTTCGCAAAAAAAACAAATTTTTGCGTGTTTTTTGAATTCGCAAAAAAGTTCAAATCGATATAAAATTTCAAATTCACAAATATTGTTCAGATTCATGACCTTTTTTTTAAATCATGAACATTTTTTAAATAGGCACTTTTTGAAATGCATGAACTTCTTAAAAAATGGCGTACTTCTTTCAAATTCAAGAAGTTGTTTTTGATTTTATAACTTTTTTCAAACCACAAACTTTTCAAAATCTTGATTTTTTTTCAAATCCATTTACTTTTTCACTTTTCAACTTTGTGAATATTTTATTCAATTTTGTGAACTTTTTTCAAAACCTTCGATTTATTTTCCTTGGAAATTTAATGGTCAACAAAT